AGGGCGGGCTAGCCCCAGTGGAGGGGGGAAGGCGGCTCCCCCCCCCCCCTGCACAGCTGGTGCTGGGTAGAGGGAAGGTGTCCTCCTAGCAGCTGCCACGCGAGGGCACTCCTGCCCCGATCATAGCAGCTGGCATTTCCACCTCGCCTTTCCAGGCTGGCTGGGCTTGGGGGGCTGCCCCTGCCCCATGCAATGGGAAGGCAGCTCGGGGTCCCCAGGGTCCTCCCTGCCCCAGTGGGGTGCAGTCAGGACTGGGCTTGGCCCCCCTGTCCCTGATCTAGGTGCTGGCTCCGTGCACTCATGGGAGATGAGGAGATGCTCTTTCCCTGGCTGCTGCTTGCAGCTGGGCATGGACCTGGCACTGGAGGGCCCTGCTCCATCACAAGGGTCTCTTTCTGTCCCCTTGCTTTCCCATCCTCCCCTCCCTTCTGCCCCGGGGCCATCGGGGGCATGCAGGGGTGGCTGGACCTGCTGGGGACTTTCCTGTGGGGGGAAGCTGGCCGTGGAGATGTCCATGCTGTGACCCCTTGGCCTGGGGAGGCATCGACGTGGCTCTGGGGCTGCAGTTTGTTCCTGCAGCGGGTGGTCAATCAGTAGCTGCCCCCAGCCCCTCAGAGGGGGTCCTAGGAGGGATCCTAGAACTGAACTGGTGGTGTCGGAGGAGGTGACATGAGTGTCTGGGGGCAGCTGGGGAGGGGGCACGTGCGTGCAGGAAGTGTGGGCTATGGTTCAAGGTCACCATTGCTGCCCAGGATCCCCTGTAATCTGGGTCCAGTGCATGGGGCTGGTGAGACACCCCATGGCCTCAGCTCCCAGACACTTGGGGTTCACCTGTGGCCTGGAAGCCCTGCTCTGCTTTTTTCCTGTGCAAGATGATTGAGCAAAGAAGCTGCCCCCTCCCCCCTGCCCAGTGTGTTGCAATGGAAAAAAGCCCCTGGACTTCCAGCAGCCGCTTCACCACCGCTGTGGCCCTGTCTTGTCTCTGCGCCAGCCAGCAGCCCACCTGCCTGGCGTCCTCCCTGGAGCAAGGAGGGGGAAACCGAGGCATGGAGGCTGGCAGGGGCGAGGTTGCAGAGCATGGAGAACCCAGGTGTGCTGATCATCCCCCCTGCTTCCAGGTCCCTCTACCCCAGGTACCCTGTGCCTGAAGGAGTTTCCCATGGCCGAGCTTGGCGGCCTGTCCCCAGGGCCGTGGCCTTGCCATTTCCCTTCCTGGCTTGTTATTTCCCAAACAAGCCCCCGCCCCCCCCCAGCTGTACCCAGCCCGGCTCAGTTGTCAGGCTAAATATTTTGTGTGTAACATTTGCAAACACAAGTGCTGGGAGCCCAGCCCCAGCCTCTTGTGCCTGGCACCCCCCCTGCCCACCCCCATCCAGAGCAGGTGGGAGCCCAGCCCTGGCTCCACCCCGCTGCATCTGGGGCTGGCGCAGGCGGCGCCTTCCCACGCTCAGGTGTGCTGGAGAGCCCGGGGGAACACACCTGCACGACAGGATCAGGGTAGGGGGCAGTGAGGGACCCCCGCGCCCTGCCCAGGACGGGCGTCCGCGTTGCAGCCTCAAGCTGTGGGGGCATCTGTGGGCCATGGGGGCCACACAGCACCCCTGTGCTCTGCGTCTCTGGGGAGCCCTGCTGGTCCTCAGCCTCCTCCCACTGGCGCCTGCTCAGGCCACCTCTGAAAGTAAGTACCCCCCCCCCGCCAGCTTGGGGATGCAGCCTGGGGTCTCTGGATAGACAGATGGGGCTTAAGGGGGTCTCTCTGTGCAGCTCCTGGGTGAGGGAGGAGAGGGGAGATGCCCCTGGGATGCTGGAGATGGCAGGGGTCAGAGATGTGGGTTCCCCTCCCTGCTCTTCTGGGTGCCCTTGGGTCGCTCTCTGGGCCTCTGTTTCCCCTCCAGCCACCGAGGTCCTGGAGAAGGGGCTGCCTTGAGGTTGGGTATGTGCAGCACCAAGCGCGCTGGGGGGCCTTGAAGCTCTGCCACCAGCACCCACCAGGACCTGGGGGAAGTCTCTTTGCTTCCCTGTGCCTCAGTTGCCTTGTGGGGCAATAGCTTCCTTTCTCTTGTCATTTAAGGTTGTTGGCTCTCGGGGGGCTGTCTGTGCTTGGGGTCTGTGTGCGTGTGTGTGTGTGTGTGGGGGGGGGGGGGGGGGGGGGTTT